GTCATCAGAATGAGATACTATAACAATATCATCAATGTAAAAAAAAATAATTATCTATCTGTTGATGAATAGACATTTATTCTCAGAAATTGAAATAAAATCTAATCATTTAAGAGTATTGAATAATTCTTTAAATCATAGAAGAGATGATCCTTGTAAATAATATAAAATATATAATAAGTGTAGAATGTAGATGTTCTTCTTGAGATTTCATATTTTTTTTCAACTTTCATCAATTATTCAGTAATTTGATGTTAATTAACTCATCAAGTGAGCTGTTCACAAAGACATTGATATCATTCAATTGCTCAGCATCAAGATTAAAGATGTTGATAATAGTAAGTAAAATATGAAAAATTCTTGCAGCTAGAATATAAATCTTGATATCTAAATCAGATACTGATTGTAAATCACTTTAAACATAGATACAGGCTTTGAACTTGATAAGATAATCATTATCATCAAATTTATAGATGAATACTTATCATAGTAGAATCACTGAAATATTTTTCAAAAATTTATTAACAATTTTATAAATATTTTGCTGAGTTATAAAGTCTCATTTCTATTTGATAGCATTAATTTATTCATCATGATAGAGATGCTTTATAATGCACTCGTTTATTATTTCCTTATTATTATATTATCTTTATTTATATCTTCGTCTATTCTTACCTCTTTCCATTATACTCTCGCTACCACTATTTCTATATGTATATATATATGGATGCATGTATTTCGCACATCTTCTTTCTCTTTCTTTTCCTCTTCAGCGATTAGAAACTGTGAGGGGTGATGACAGTGTGAAGAGTGAATAGTAGAATATAGTATATAGTGTAGTGGAAGATAATAGTAATAATAATTATAGTAGTAGTATAGTTGAAGTTGTAGTTGTAGTTGTAGTTGTAGCTAATCGCTGAAGAGGAAAAGAAAGAGAAAGAAGATGTACGAAATACATGCATCCATATATATATACATATAGAAATAGTGGTAGCGAGAGTATAATAGAAAGAGGTAAGAATAGACGAAGATATAAACAAAGATAATATAATAATAAGGAAATAATAAACGAGTGCATTACATGCTTGTTGACATCATTTCAATGTTGAGATGAATCAGATAATTAAAATCAATAAATTTTAAAAAAAAATTCTGATTTAGATAGAGATTTTACAAAAACAGTATTGATCATCTGATTTGAATTATTTTTAATAAGAGATACTGCTATATGATGAGTTATATTGTGTGTTTTTCTACCCTCAATTTTATTGAATTTATTGAAGTCAGAATTAATCTTATCCACTCTAAATGCTTAATTGTTAAATGATAATATCAGATAAATATCAATAAAAAGGTTAAATTTGATAGAAATGTTAAAATTAAATTCAGAAGTAAAATTTGACGTAGATAGAATATCTGTTATAAATTGCATTTTCAATACTTTATTAATATTTTCACTATCTTTATCAATGTTATTTGTACACAGTGAGATTTCATCAGAATAAAATATATTGATATTTAAGTATAGATTATTCTTTTATTGAAAGTATCAATTCTTGATTTTTCAATTTTAATATTTAAGAATTTAATTTCATAAACAATTCAATCTCACCGCTGTTTTCAATGTGATATTCATCTGAATATATTTTTTATTTT